GTGGGAGTCTACGTCGTAGCGGAGCGCAGCAAGACAAGGACGGCAATTATGGCGAGATGCGCTGCACTTCTCGCACAGACACTCTGCGTTCGCCAAGGTCGGAATTGCCTTTCACTTTGCTGCACTGATTATATTGAATTGCGAGGTTATTGACTTTATTTTAAGGAATATTTTAGAATAACTAGCAATTAACTGCACGATAATATTTAAATAAAAAATAGTTAACACGTCTGCTCGGAAAGACAGCTTGGGCGCTTGTTAATTGTACATATCCATTCATAGACTTAAAATCTAATCAATGTTTTACTTGGACTTTGGTTTGGCTATTGAGTAGCTGGAACATTTTCCAATAATCTTTAAAGAAAGTTCAATTTCTCGAAATTTCAATGGCTGTATTAGTTAAATGTTAACCCAGTTATCAATAAACCATCAGACACAATTACAACTATAAATAGAAATAATGTAATTGTTATGAAACAGAGTGCAATAACTGGATTCTACTATCTTGAATCACTGAGCAAGCAAATATACTTAGTTTAAGAACATACGCACAAACGCACCTATTGTTGTATATGCCCCTCATTTATTTTGTATGAATCACCGCCACGGCAATAATATGTTTTCTTCCACCTAAGGAAAGTGCAATATTTTTAATGATGACTAATATTTTTCTATTCTGTATTGTTATCTGTGTAGGTACTTAGTTCTATTTGCGTGAAAATATTTTATTTTAATGGCCGTTTAAAATGTAATCAGTACAACAAATTAAATATTTTAGGAACACGGGTTTTTTAATGCACTTTAATGTGCATCGAATCCATCTTATCCAATATGTTGCGTATGCAGACATTCTTGTTATTTGCGGATAATATATGTTGACCTGTATTATTTATTACCTATATTTCAAGTGAGTACCTTATTGTCAATTCATTCAAGGCCTAGCTTGTAGGTACCATCAAGTTAGAATGTCGTTGTAAAATAAAATACCTAATGGTTCAAGTGTCTATGAACTTATATTAGATAGTAACCTATGGTTTTGTTATTAAAAAAACCAACGTATCGTAGTTATCTATTTATCTAATAGTTTTTTTTTAATTTATGTATTTTAGACTGTTGAATTTGTTTATTTTCCATTGTCGTTATCTTAATTCAACAACAACATAGATACAAGATACTTATAATTAACTATTACACAATAAACAATAACATATGTCTCAACATAACACGTATCACTAGGGTTAAAAAACTCGTAAATAACATCAATATTTTTCATACTTTTGTAATAAGCTTATTTTTATACTTACTAGGATTAAGATTATTTTTAGACTTATCAATGAGACAAATTTTGATAATAAAAGTCAGTTATTACGACACACAATCTTATTTTGATGCAATAGACCACCACAGACGGCCCTATAGAACTGATGTTCAGTCGAAGTTGCGGGATAAGCGCAATGAGTCGCCGCGGCCTCGGCCCAGAGCAGGAGAAGGCACAGGGGGGTTTTAGTCAATAATAATCTGACACTGCCTCCCGTCCGATCTTGGGCGGAAGAAGTCATTCGATGATCTCCCCCCTCCGTCCCCCCAAAAAAAACTCATTTTGATTACATTATCATAAGACTCTAAATAGGTGCCTATATAATGGCCATATGCCTAACCCAAAGTATAAATGGGAATCGTATCACTATGACTCCTTTGTCTGTCCACCCGTCTGTCTCTCTGTCCAGGCTGCAACTCAAATTAGTACCATGATAGCTAGGCAGTTGAAACTTGGACAGTAGATAATAACTTCTGAGAACTAAAAATAAACATATTAGAGGGGGCCTTATGCAACCTTTCGGGCTTTCTAGTTTTCTCGATCACAGAGGCCTGAGACAATTTTTTATATTTTTAACCGACTTCCAAAAAGGAGGATGGTTCTCAATTCGACCGTATATATGCTTTTTTCTTTTTTTTATGATTTCGCATTTGTTTTTTAGGAACGCATTTTAAATAGCACCTACTTAGAGAATTAATTCGTTCAATGTTTCCTTTATGTTTGAATTAATCCTTCCATGCATTTTTTTGTATAACACACACCTACATAGTACAAAGCTATAATTAGTTCAAAGGCATTTTTAAAACGCAACCGTTGACCTTGCATGCAAATAATTTTACAGCTTGGATGATAAAGGCTAGTTACGAAACGAATGCGCCTACTGTCTTACTGAATTTTTTATATTTAATTAATTCAATATGCATATCGTCTGCATATACATAAATAGACGTATGTATGTGTGTAAGCCGAAATGTTATCGTGAGGACATTGAGGCTAAAAAGAGGCTAGGTACTAGGTACTGAAGATACTGTCCGGAGGTGGTCTATTAAGGTCCCGGTGTCCCTTACAGGTGTTGATAGTGGTCGGGGAGGTTTCAGTGAGGTAAAAATCTCACACTTCCTATAGCTAGGTGCCTTTTGAAGGTTTCCCCCGTTAACAAAAAAAAGGTACTAAACAGGTTAGATCCCATTTAGCTCATTAGTAAAAAACAGAAAGAGAGAGAGAGAGAGAGAAAGATAGAGAGAGAGAGAGGGAGATATACCAATACATACTGTATATCGAATATCTGTTGTGATAACTGTTGACCGTTCAATGGACTTTATTTATGGCGACGACAGAGGCGTCGCTTTGTTATTATACTGATTACATTTCGTTCAACATTATTCATCATCACTGGATACTTGATTATAATAAAATTTATCAGCATTTTTTTAAATTATGCCTCAGTTTCGTGTGTCATAATGATTATCGTTTTGTAATAAAAAGGAAATTTCATGGTACGATTGACATCGGAAGGTTACATACAACATACAAACACCCATATTATTTCATTAATGAAACCGTTGTATTGCATAAGATGAGAGCACTAGTTCACAATTAGACGTTATTAAATATAATAGCCGAGGGATGAGGCAATGGTCTGCCGCGATGGTGTGTCTACCATACGTGGCAACTGTGAGAGTCGCAACTGCAATCAGTCACTAACCGGTCACTCTCTGGCTTAAGCAATCAATCTCCACACTGACGCTTTTGGCGATCACTTGTGCTTACGTACTTATTAGAAATCATAACTTTATAGGATCACTGTTTGTTGAGCCCCTGTTCGACCATTCTTTTTTGTTAGTGAGAATAGCATCGGGGTACGTATTTATCTTCTCATTCTAATATAATTCCTATATATATCCTATTATAAATGTGCTAGATTGTGAGAATACATGGATGTATATTTGGTTGAAAATTAATACGTACAAAGGTTAATACCCTGCTTTTTCCTTTTCAACATACCTCGCAGGCGAAGCCGTGGTCGGAACCTAGTGTTCCATTAAGGCCTTCCAAATTCTACGACCAAAGCCAAAATTTAAAAACGAAATAGCAAATCTAACGCTGGTATTCCATTGGACAATATCATTGTAACATTTTTCAAGAAATTGTTGACCGTGAAGTTAAACAAACATGCTATTGCAGTTCTCAAATTGCATCAATTTGGGGTTTTAAATCAAACTATAAAATGACCGTGGCTTGCGTGTCCTATACCTATTATTTTAATATCAGTTATTTTCTTCGACAACAATGTAGGATACCTAATACCTGCCTAGGTATTCTAAGAACATTGACGTACATACATTCTATTCTTTCGAGCGAGCAATTTTTGGGCGCCAAATAAACTAATAGACAATTGATTACGCGCAGTTTGTATGAGCCGCGTGTGTAAGTTGTCCCATTCATCAAGTTGTTACGTGATTTACATAATACGCTTCACTTTGTGCGTACTTAAGTATTCTCCTAACACGTATTAGAGTAACCTGCCGTCTTTCTGTCCACTCCCGGCAATAAATTACTCGTGGCTCATTGTTGGCAATAAACAACATTATCGAAACTAATAGGGTAATGACTGCCATTGTTGCACGCATAGATAATATTGTAATTTCTTCTATTACTGCTGATATTAGGTAGGTACACCACGATTAAAGTAAAGAGGTTATTATTTTATAGATTCCACATTTTTCGTAATTTTGCATTGTTCATAGCAACATGGTGAATGTAACTATTTCTAATTTTAAAAATGTACTTACTAGGTTTAGTAGAGTGATATAAGAAGGACTAGTTTAAATGTAGGTCGTGTTCAACATACATTATATTTCTATACTAATCATTAAAATTAAATAATTGTAAATTCTAAAAAATCAACCAGGTACTTATAAAAAAAATTTTAACCGCTTCCTTGTTAAAAGTTGGTCGATAAAATAGTTTTACTTTTTAGTAATAACTGACATTAAGCACGCGATGCTGGCAACACCAAACTAGCTAAGTAGATTCAGGCTGCAGACGAACAGACAGGCAAATTATACGAACATGTCTCGCCTAGCTCTACATAATTATATGATTATACATTTTCTCTTCTAAGCAAAAGTTTCTCGCCGGAAAGCACGGTACATAGATAAACTTACGCATAAATTAAGTCCGTGGAAAACTTGCTGCGAACTTGATTTCTTAGCGAACGTGTCTCTTAAATGCTAGTTCTAATCTAGATTTTATTGTAAAGGCAATTAGATACATTAGGTCTTAACACTTTATTAGTATTAAATTGATTGTGTCTTGCGATTAATAAATGATCCAATTCCTGTTCTTGAAAGATTTTATCTTGCTATAAACCTTTCAACCTAAACTTACTGGTATTTTCTAATGTTGAATATAATATTACGTCCAACTTTACATGGTACTTATGTCCTTTTGGTATTGGAAGTGGTTCACTATTTGCACTGTCGAAGCAGTTCTTCGAAATAATGTGAGCCCTAAGAAATTCATATAGGTACTAGTCGTGTATCAATATGAAAAAACTCAGAAACAGTTAATTATTATTTAAGTAAGCAAGTCATGTAAATAAATGACACACTGATCTATAGACAAGATCAACTAAGTTTTTTATAGTAGTTCGAATTATAAATAATAATTTTATTTTCAGATGCGTCGTGTTGCGGAGTTCAAGCGCGACAATGCGTCATTGCTGGACAACTTGCTGCCTGAACAAGAGAAGACAGCGTTCCTTGACCACAAGGTCGTGAACGTCCTAAAGGGCCGCGACCACAAGGGAAGGAGGGTCTTAATCGTCAATGTTGGAGGTATGAACTTAATGACCTGATTCTCGACAGCCATATTTGTAGTCAACAATCTATGGACTATTCTGGGTCAGGGATAGTCTAGATCTAGAAATCTGTTACCAATTATGCAAACAAACAAACCAAGTATCGAAGAGACCTTTGATCCCAATGAGTAATATCTGTACTTCACCGTCCAGAGGTCACTTATTTATACTGGAACGCACTTCAATACTAATTTCCTTAATAAATATTTAGATTTACACAAAAATATGCAATATGTGATTGCGACGTTACACACATATGTATATTATGTCTGAATAACATTTGTTTAAAAACAAGATAATATGTTGTAAATAAGAATTCTATGTAAACATTTGTGTCATTTGAAACATAGAATTTCTAGATATCGATCGATCAAAATAACAGATACTGATATCGATAGTACTTACTATAAAGACGTGATTGACTCTCCTCGAGTCTTTGTCCTACATAACAACAATAGAGATACTACCTGTGTACATACAAATACATAATGATCAATATCTCAGAGTTTCGAGACAATATGTAAGCGATAATGCTATATGAACACTTTCTACTTTTGAGATGAAACGAAGAGGTTATATTTTAGAAATCAATAGTAGGTACATATATACTTACGTATACGTATAATAAACATAATCATATGATTGATAGATAGATCATAGTATTGTGGTAACACCTCGCATTTCTGTCGAAGATTATAGCTACTTAAGGCATATACGGCCATACCGGGTACTCTTCCAAATTTTATACTATCAGGTATTGATACCTGTGAATACTCCAAGTATGACAGTGCAAACAATATTATAAAGAACTTATACGTATTTATAGGCAATAATGATTATGCAATCATAAAGTGTATGCATAAGCCTTTTAGAATTTATTTCAAACTTTTCCTGTTTGTGCTATCCGTATTCGACTTGATTGTGTATTGTAGTTTTGATAATAAGACTATACATATACATACTTACTTTTTACTCGGATAATGCCCTAGATTGTTGGCATTTGGTGGTTCTAACGTGGTTCCTTACTATTCCCACATTATCCACACTACATTTACGTGGCAAAGAAGTAGCCGCGTAGCCAGTTAACTAATGGGATCGCTCTGAAGCGATAGCCACGTTGTTTTGTATTCGATGCGTATGTGCAATATGCATAAACAGTGACAGTAGGCAAGTGTCCCGCATACAATGTGTATATTACGAAAACCCATTCTCTCCAGCTGACTTGTGCTACAAGAGGCAGTCGTGATCATTAGGTACTTAAACACTTAATACTTAACAGTGCCCTCTATAGAACTGATATTTCTTAAGAAAATTAATACTTTACCAATAAATTGTTCAGACTAATGGTTACTGACATCGTTGTCTTATATTTTCTTTAATCCGAATCATTAGAGTATCTAGATATTAATTGTACTAGGTCCTATCTTCGTTTAGAGAAAGCTAATGACCGATTTGCTCCTATCAGGTTCATGGGATCCAAAGAAAGTGAATGCTGACCAGTTATTCAGGCTGTTCTACTTGATCCACGAGGCCGCCATGTTGGAGCCAGAGTCACAAGTTAGAGGAACTGTTGTCATCATGGACTTCCACAATATGGGGTGGACACAGGTCAGTAACCTTTTTATGTACTTTAAGGTTTGTAGGCCATTCTCTTTCAGGGAAGAAGTTATGGACTCTGTCTTACAAAAATATAAAAGGTTAGGTTCCTTTACTCCACTGTTGAAATCCGTTATTACTCAGGACCATTTTACAATTAACATTTGTACCAATACATAAGGTTGCTACAACGAAAAAATTAATTAAGTAGGTACTGCTTATATTACACTATTTTTTTTTCAAAATACTTAAATAACTGTAATACAAAATTAACATTTGCATTTTAATACGTTATTTCGAAAGCTAAAAATAACAGAATGCGTATTAAATTAAGGTAATTAAACTTTATATTGTTGTACTTCTGCTTGGTATATGAAACAATTTAAATGATTTACAAATAAAAAGTAAAGACTTATTTAATGTAGGTATTTACGACGTTTATTTACTAACATAAGCGTTGTTACGGCGTATAATATCTATGTGATAATTGTGTACAACAAATTAAAGTAGTTACCCATTCCCATATCGCACATCTTTCGTGGGTATAAGCGTTAAATGTCTTTTTCATGACGAAACAATACATATTTCGTTATTTGTGCCAACAACTAAATTGTCATGTCGTCATAATCATCCAACGATATAGCTAAAACTAGTTTTGAGGTATAATGCGCAGTTTCTGCAGATATAGGTGACTCTTGTGCTCATTGTTATAGAGTTCAATGTAGTTTACACAGATGTTTTGGCACAGCCGGTCCTTTGGTTTTCAGGACATTACCGATACAAATTATTGTAGGCCGTTGTTTCTAGTCTGAAATATAAAAAATAATAATAAGTAGGTACCATTTGGGATTTATTCTTGATTGTTATATTTTCATATTCTTTTGTTCTTTTGGCAAAAGACAAAAAATATTGAGATTATCGTAATGATAACGTTTAACGGTATTTATAGAATACTAAATCTAAAAAGGTGTTACACATTCGAACGTAGAGATAATAGGTACACTCAATATCGGTGTTGGAAGTAGATGGATCACTTTCACTGCGCGTGCGCATGCTGATTTGAATTTATCGTAACGAAGTGACAGCTACAGCCATGTTGCATGGTTGTGATAGGTACTACGCTGTGATGAGTAGATTTACATGGATCATAGTTTTTTATAGAAACTTATTCATATTTGCAATCAAGTATTCTTAAGAACATGTAAGCAGAATAATAACATAATGCATCCATATTTATAATCCACCTCCTTTGTTGCCGTGATAAATTGAAAACGAGTTTTTTATTTCATTTTATTATCTGCAAGGCGCCGGACATTGCACTCGGAGTGTAAATATTATTGTTTCTACAACTGCATGTCTTGTCCACCACGAGGATGAGTCAACCCCTAAAACAAAGTGTAGGTACCTAGCTCAAAGTACAATGCGCGCGTTCAGTATGTTATGAACAAAGAAATGTGTCGAGTATATCTTAGCTTGCTGCCTTTCTGTGTGTTGTTGCTTTTATCTTTGTTTCCATTGCGTACCTACCTACATACCCACACGTATTCGGCTTAACGACAACCTTCTGCCTTGTACTTATAAATATTTTCTTGCGGTTTTATTAACACCGGCTCAAAGTCGATCCATCACTTAGAACTTTAATAATATTGTGTGCATCGCCGCAACGGTGCGAATTTGATGTTTCAATAAAGACGTTATTATTGCAATCAGTTTCTCACTTACGTTTTATTTGAGTGGCTCTCGACTGTTAATTTTAAAATTTGTAAAGTGCACAAGTATCATAGAGAAACTTTATGGTGAAATGATGACACATGTTGTGAAATTTATCTACCTATGCGTGATGGTAACGTTGCTGCCAACATCTATGGAGATTAAGTAAATAAAAAAAGCAGTAAATTGATATTTCCTAATCCACCTTTTATTTATCCGTACTCTCTTATTTGTGAGTTCTACAAACAAGCCATTAAATTATACTAGACATATAATATTTCGTGATAGAACATAGTACTTCGTCAGTCTGTGCTCAGAAATATTGAATATAGATTATATAGATCTTTGTTTTTCCAACAAGACATTTAAGAAATACCTTATTGAAAAATTTAATACCTATTGATCTCTATATTTTATGTTTATACATTAATATATCTATAATAAAATACTACACATATATTATTATGTATATTGGAATATAAACAAAACGTGTATAGGTAATAATGTTACGACATCGACGTACTTCTAGATTGTACATAGTTCTAATTGTAAACATTGAACAGGATCTTTGATATCAGTTGTATATCTTATCAATTACCTGTACATATGTATACTAATCAGTCTTTTGTGTAATAGATTAACAACTTGCTCGTTTTAAAGGATTATCAAATTGATTTCTTCCTTATCTGGGGATTAACGTTGCTATGCTAATGCAAATTTTTGAACGGAATCCACGAAATTTTTAATGAGTCGCTATATTTTTTATTATTTTCCTTGGTTCTCTTTACGACAATAATGATCATTAATGGATGTTCAAAATCACTGTAGTGGTATAAGGGATTTCCTCTACTGGACATGATTCCTTAGACAGTTGTCGACTTTTACACTACAAAAAGCGTTGTTAAGTATTATCCGTAAATAAATATTGGATTCCGTCCAATTTAACTTAAACTTTAAGGCCATTATCAGAAGGTCGGTTTGCACTTGACAAATAAATGGTATCTTCCTTCCGGTTCTTTTAGGGCATAGATAGTCAACATTTAGTATTACCTCGAAATGAGGAAGTATGATAATCAATAAACGCGATGAATGGTCTTCGCTAGTCAGATCACGATCAGTCGGAAAGGTCGAAGCTGTGTCCTGAGTGCGACAGAACATATTGATATCATTAAAATCGTGTGAATCGCCACTGCCGCGTTCTTTATTGTTAAGCCATGTATGGCGAAATTTAATTAATCTATTTTAATATTTGTGTACGTGGTCGTAAGTAGAGAAGTCTGTAGTTGTTTACTTCCTTAATTCAAGTTCTCTATAATAATTTTTGTAACCACAGAATTTGATACCATCTCTTGTCTATTCCTTCGTTGAAGAACTGGCTGTATATAACCATCTTATAGTAAGTTATGTTGCAAAAGTTTGTTTGATTAATAAATTATAACAATGACTGAAACTGAAGCGTATTTTCAGGTTGTTTAGTTTAAGTAACAGTGGAAATGTCACGTGTGGAAACAGGCGACGGTCACACAAACAATAGTGAGTGATTCGCTAAGGTCATTTGAGGGAACTAATGTGGATTATTGGATGTATGGAAATGTTAAGAAATTAGTCATCTTTGATTAATAATCATTGGTCGCAGGAAAAGCGTACTCGTTCAGGGTTTCCTCTCAAGGGGCCTCACGTCCGAGGCTGTTGATCAAGTAGCAGATTGTAGAGCACGCATGCATCCAAGATCTTAGTACATCCATCTTTGTACTGATTGATTTATATGACCTTAGTTTGCATTTGACCTAGATCCTAAGAAAACACGAAAATTACGCGTAATAAAGTCAATTGTTCAACATGTAGGTAGTATAAATGTTAATGTCACATTGACTAAAAGAACATATGTATACTAATGAGTGTAATGACTTTAAAAGTAAATTATGTTAAATAATTATGAATTACGTATTATAACAATGAACAGTAAATCACTTAAGTATCATATTTTGAGGAAAATAATCAAAAATAACAGTGAAAAAAAAAGAATTTTTCATTGAAAAATATGCATATATTTATTATATGTACATTTTATTTGTTAAAAGCCAAGAGATCGAATGGTTTTTGTTCATTATTTTGAAACAATATACTTGTAGGTACTTAGCCATATCCTAGATGCCATTTAGGACTATTTAAACGCGTTAGCTGGACTAAAAACTAATATTTTAATTAAACATCCGTCCTTTGTGTCGATATGGAAGGAAATGGATTTTCCTTAACGTTGTAAAGGACGATGGTAAATACAAGACGGACATTTTGGTAAACACACACACATACATACATAACATTCTGATACCGAACTGACTTCACTTGTTTGATCTTCAACCTGATATCGACCTTAGTGGTTAATGTGGTTCACATTAAACAAGGCAACTTGTGATTTATTGAGATTATTGTTTTCTTATTATGAAAGTAAATCTAAATATTTTTTGTATAATAACTATCAGTAGTTAATTAACTGCAAAATAATGGCTTACCCACGTCAAGAAAAGAAAATCTGGTGTGGGACTCTAATTTCATGAGCAACGTGGGTAAATTTTTTTTTACATAAATAACTTCACTACATGTCATCTCCATGGTAGAGTGCCAAATCTTCATAATGGCAGACTCTGTTGTGTTTTGTTTTGGAGAAAATCATCAAATGTCTTCTCCCGCCCTGGATGCGCATTGCACTCGTATCCTCGACAAGTTCAATGATAGTTTGGGTGATGAGTTTTCTTCTACGAAATTAGTATTATTATTATTATATTAGTAGTTTATTTGTATCTGAGCACTGAGGAGTACTGTAGCTTCGGCCTAGAGTAGGGGAAGGAACGGGGGTGATTTTTAGTCAGTAAGAGTCTGGTCCCTCTCGCTCTACCCTGGGCAAAGTTATTTGGTGAACACAAAGAAATAAAATAGTTTCGTTGAAAGACGTGATGCATTATTTATTGGTTGTAGTTGCGTTCTACCATTTTCTTGTATACTGTCGATATTTTTTTTTACGATTCTTCAAAAGTTGCCATCATTAAAAATAATTCATATAGAAAAAAAACGGCATTTGAGTGACATTTTAAATAACAGTAGTATATTTTGTTTTTGAATACTCTATCTAGGCTTTACTTAACATGTGTGTAGAAATCGTGACACAAAAATGGACTAAGTAGTAAAGCCCATATGATTAATTAATCTTTAATAATAAATGACGAATGAAGGTTTATGGCAGTGTTACATTACACATACTTGTAGTATTAGAGTTTATCATTAGATCCCCGTACTTTACATATATAGATCGATATCGATATTATGAAATATCGATAAACGAAATAATTTAAAGAATGATTAATTTAATATAATGCCTAGATAATGCCTAGACATTTAAATATATAGGGGGTTATAAAGTTATTAATATTTTATGATGCTTTGTAATTTATAACCCTTAATCATTATTTCACGTGCGGTCTATACTTAGGTATTAAAATTAGGTTTCCGGGTTTTACCGATGTCTTTGTGTCACGATGATTCAAATTTTATATAAGTACTCAGGTATTTAGGTAATTATTTTAATGTTTTTTACGCAGGTAGGCGTTCAAAAAGATACGGTTAAGTTGTTTTTAAATTATGTACTCAAAACCGTCGTATAATCAATGTTTACGTTACTTAAATAATTTAAATAAAGATGGCGTTAATATTAAATGTAATTTATTGCCAGCAATAAAAAGACTTTAGTATCTATACACTCATTAAAGCTAATGAAGGTCAGGTTTCCTGTATCTATATTGTTTGATATAAATTTATTAGCTCAGTGTCCATCTAATTGAAAAGAGTCAATAGGGAATCAAGTTACTGAAGAATTATTAAGGATCCCTTTTAATTGGTGCCTTTGTTGGATTATTATGAGACTTAATGACACAATTTTAGTCTTGGCGTATGTACTCATTGGTTACTTTAAAGAACTTTACCTACTTAGTCACGTCACACGTTTACGACACAACATAATTTTCACGAGCGAAATCTTGGCTTCTGGCAACTATAAATGTTTCAGAGCTGATCCCATGCTCGGTAATACCATGAGACGAATCAACGATAGACGCATACAAAATGTCTTAAAGAGTGGCGATTGCGCGGATCACTGACCGACGTCACCCCACACGGAACTGATGGTAGACGGACTCTTGCCAAGTGCCAGGGCGTAGGTTATCAAATCCATTCGGTCACTCACCGAATACCTTTGCCAAATGACGTCTAATCAACCCAATTATAATTACTCATGACAATTTATTGTCTTGTAAAACTTCCATGCTTATCGTTTACATAATAAGTTGAAAATATTAAGTAGGACAGCTTATCGTACGTTACAGATGCAACATCCAGTCAGATATTGAGTCTTATGTTTAATTACAATAGCTTAGTTATGCAGCGATTAATATTTAAAACGTTGGTAAGAATAATTTCTTGTGGTCGAGGTGGTTACAAGTGATACTGATGGGCGGAGGTCAAGTGTTAATCATCCTTGTATATCCAGAAAGTTCATATTATTATGTAAAGAGTGCAGAACAAGTGTGATAAGATGTATAAAGGAATTCTGTTAAAAGAATTGATGACACATCATACAGATATTCATTGAGGATCTATCGCAGTTGGTTCAATACTATCATTCAGTTTGTAATGATGCGTATCCATTGGATTTAAATAGATGAAAATTTATAATTTTTTTTTACAATTCTTATAATCGATTTTATTTATAAAATGACTTGAAAAAGTAGTAAGAATTTGGTCACTGCCAAGATATTGATGAAGATAATGATGGTATATCGGCCGGCGAAAATAATAAGCACGTAACCATCCTCTGCTGAAAATCAACTTAAATGACGGGTTCCTGCACTTATTATTATCTATTTGTTTCTATTAATTGTGACTTTGCAGTAATCGTCACTTCAACTAGGTCATACCAAGCTACTCGACTAAGATCTTAAGCTCTGTTGATTGTTTAGAAAAAATATTAATCTTCAATTTTATTTGTCAACAGACAATGGGTCTCACTCCAGCCTTCTCCAAGCGTCTCCTGACCTTCATCCAGGACGCTATGCCTCTTCGTCTTAAGGAGGTACACTTCGTAAAGCAGCCCATGGTCTTCAACGTTGTGTGGAACATGTTCAAGCCCTTCATCAGGGAAAAGCTCAAGAACAGAGTAAGTAGTTAATTAATGATCAATATTATCATGATTTTTCTATTTATATTGGCTTCTATCGAATCACAGCACAGACTGTTAACTGTTACACTTAAAGTTTCTATATCTTTCTCATAGTTTCTTCCTTTCTTTTAAAAATTTCGAAAAATAAAAAAATAAGTTTATTGAATTCTTCATTTCCATAAATACAATCTTAATTAAAATTAGGTACTTAAATCTGAAATATGAAACAATTCCTTCACGTCCTTAGTTTATTTTTGTTAATTAATATTAATACCTAAATGTTTATATTATTCTTGTCATGAACATGAACTTATTTTGACCGTTTTGCCGTAATAGTTGGTAGTTTTACTAACAAATAAAAGAGCAACGTCCCGCCATCTAGTGGGTGAAGGCCGAATTTTCTAAAATTATTATTATATTTGGATTTCGCTGCAACAGACTTTTAATACAAACTAGGTATTTTTGCCAAGCTGGTCAAATAATGGTCAGTTGCATTGTTTTGTCAATAAACATTTATGATTTATTATTTGTTTCCAGATTTTCTTCCACGGCTCGAAGATGTCGTCTCTTCACAAGCACATGGCGGCGTCTCACCTGCCGTCTGACTATGGTGGTGAACTCCCTGCCATTGACTACTCTGGCGCTGACTGGTATCCTGTCATCAACGACGTCTTGCCGCACATCCACAACTGGAACACCTATGGATTCGCCAAGGACTCGTAGGCAACTAAATAATTGTAGTGTACTGCCTTACGTCGAATGAATTTCAGTTATTTAGTACAAGATATTTATGACTTCAGACATTTCCGAACTTAGGTAATTCATTCCTTTTTCGAAATGCACTGTTACATTTACACGTTGGGCAGTTTATACTATTCTCAATTTAAATTAGTTTTAGTTTTTTTAAGACTTAATCTGGAGTACGTGTTCGAATAGCCGTTGTTCTAAGTTCTGGCTTATAGTGGTGGTAGATTAGGTACTATTGTAATATAATGCCATGTGCCCGAGCACCACTAGTATAACATAACTAGAGCTCCCCAATATCGGGGTTCCACGTTATTAAGTTTAGATATTACCAAAATTAGAATTAAAATATAGGAATTCAAAGAAGAAATTGAATGGTAGCTTAAAATAATTCCAAAACTAAAGAGTGTGAGTGAATGCGTAACAAAATATTATGTGATACATATTGACAAGTTATTTTATAGTTTACATGTTAAGGATCTAGGTTTACTGAACGACAAAGGCTAGATAGCTACGGTTGAGGAATTAATCGCTAGTATGTTTGATCTAGGCAGGTTTTAGGTAATAACATGACTGTGCAAGCGACTGCTATGTTTGTGTGAGTTTAGAATAATTCTTTGTGTAAGGGATGTATTTGTATATTCAAATTTCGGGAAATTTCGGATGTGAGCGTAGTTCATGACATGTACGTACGAACACTTTGTAGACACGGCGGTGTTTATTTATTTAGATGTAGGACAGGAGTCATGTTCCTGTTGATTGTGCACAACTCGCGTGTCGAGAAGGCTGTGACAATGATGACGTACGGTGCCAGTTCTGAACCATTTTATCACCAAATGTAGAATAAACCCATTATTGTATGTTTCATACTATTTTATAGCATTAAGTAACTCAAGACATTTAAAATAGTACATATTCCATTATATTATTCTGTTTTGACAATTTTTAGTGATATGTATTTTTTTCAAAATCATAGTTATTTTAATGTAAATCGTTGATGTACCAAGTAGCATTTTTTCGCATTTAAATTGATTGCGAATATGTCTTAATGTTGTTTTATAGTTCAAAGCAATGTTATCAAATACATTTTCATCAATGATTACCTATGCACCCTCAATGGTTGTAGGGTTAATATATTTATATTATTCATAAATGAGCTATTAGTAATTACTTGTAACTTTTATAACGATTAATGGAGTTTCTTGTTCTGTATGTCTATGGATTTTCTAGATGTGTCCAATGTGCCTTTAATAGACGCATTCCAAACTAATTTTGTAATGTTTTTTTTTATAGATTTGTAATATTTTATACTAGGTATACGGAAAAATGAAAATACCTGATTTGCTCAATATTTACATAGTGTGTGTGAAACGAGATGCATACAATTATTTATTTATGCGTTTTGTTTAGACATAAAATTTTAATAAATAATTATGAAATTTAAACTTTTTCTTTTTTTTTCTATGGTAAAACCTACATATTTTACTGATATCCTATTTTACTTAGATACATAATTATCGCCCTATAGAGATAGATACAAAATTATTAGAAATGATGGGTATATCGCTTGAAGGACAGACGGCCGATGGGTCAGCAAAGACCTTTCCTTTGATCATTAATTACCAAGCTTGTTTAAGGCGCATTGGCGATTTAAAAATTATAGTTAGATATTATAAGTCCAGTCTTCATTAGGATGTTTTCCTTTACCGTATGTCATGAGGTGTCTTAATAGTCATAGACAGTACATAATAGGTCAGGGACAGGTTTAATCGCATTAAAAAAAATATAATAGCTTTTTTAAAAAAAAAATATTTATGTTTTTATAATAACGATCGTGAGACATACTAAATTAACTAAAAATCGCGGGTTACTCACGTTTGTTTTTGAGAAAAGCTCTACTAGTTTCGAATCTGGTGCTGTGGTATCCGGCAGATGGCGCGTTGGACTCGCCGCAGCGCAACCATCAACAGCGATGCAGGCGCCAACGCTAACGTAGGCTGCGCGACGTCGCCGCGTCCGCGCACGCTGCTCATGAGGAAGAACCCCTCTGTGGTTCGAAACTAGTAGAGCTTTTCTCAAAAACAAACGTGAGTAACCCGCGACTTTTAGTTAATAATTTATTTACATTTTCCTCATTTTCATTCAGGTTCCCTTTTCTTCCATAATTTCTGCCATCTTGTAGAAAGGGACTTGATCCCATTGCTATAGAAATTTTGTAGCTTATGATCAAAATACCGTGATGAGTGATTTTCGAAGCCCTGTTGTTCACCTGACACTGCTTAAAGAATTCTAAGGAGACCGAAGCAGATTTTCATCTGTCGGTGCAAGGTAAGGACTATACGGCAGATACGCAATAACACTTGCCAGCCAAACTCTTTTAATTTTTACTGAGTGGCTAAATATGTGTGAGGCATAACGGTGTGAGGTCTAGTGTTATCACTTATCATGATGAAAAACTTTTGTCTATTTCTGGCCGCTTTCTTTCAACTTCTTGCTTTAGTCTCATCAGTTGTTTGCAGTAAAGTGATTGACTCAACTGCAAATCAGGTAGAAGAAGAAGATCGATGGTCCTGACTGGTGGTAGCAGTTCATAATCCAACCACACGTACAGCATCACCTTGTTGTGAGTTAACTCGGATTTCAGTCAGTGAAGCCTGACTGGCCTTTATTTAACCACTCTAAATAAATGTTTTTACCGACTTCAATAGTCTTCTTTTTTCTTCTTCTTTCTTTTTAACCACGATCTTGTCGTACTTGATCCACTTTTCATCACCAGCTTCTTCAAAAATGGTTCGGTTATATTACGTCGTAATAAAGAATCTCAAATGAGTACACGAAGTAACTCAATAAATAGGTTTCTTTCAATGCTCTCGTAAGGTACCCAAACATTGAGCTTCTCTGTGTATCAAGGTGTTTTCAAATTCGCCAAAACTGTTTTGTGGTCGTTACTAAAGATGTGCCGACCTTGCGCCACTTTTTAAGAACTGGCATTCGTTTTAATCCCTTAGGGCGACCAGTGCGACGTGCATCTTCGACATATCGACATCAACATTTCTGGACTGAAAGCGTTTAAACCAAATTAGTGGTACACTTTCAAACACTGCACTAGTTCCATAAAGAAAGCAATTTTTTTCGCTGCTTGGTTGCATTTTTAGCGTTTTTGTAGTTAAATTTTAAAATATATCGAATTCACACATCTTGACAGTACAAAAAATTAATGAAAATCACAGAATTCCTAATTTGAATTTGGAATTTGGAGTTTCTTTAAAATTCAAACTTTTAATTATACCAAAAGCAGCCAGATACCTACAAATAGTATAGCCAAAGATATTATATTACAAGTTCATAACATACTACATGGGCAAAAAGACTTGGCATTGGAAACTCTTTTTCGTCAACCTAATTTATAATACGGAAAAAGTCACATTATTACTTGCGAGGTTTCCAAACCTCGTGCAAAAGAAGCGAACACAAAAAAGACACCACAGTAGAGTCAAACAATTTCTTGTGATATAGAACAGAGATTATTAATATGTAACATGCATAAGGAGATAATGTTTTGTGTAATGTAGTAGCTCTTTGTATAGCTTTTTTATATTTCGGTAAGATTATGTACTGTTTGACCCTGCTACGAGTCGTTAGAATGTATAATGTTGCCAATGATGATTACTGGTAATTACATAGTACTTAATTACTCAACAAGGCGTCTTTTCATGTAATTTTGACATGTAAGGTCCATGAGATTAAACACCGCGGAAGCCAACATCCGTTGCACTTGTCATCACCGATTGTTCTTTGTTTTGCAACATTTTTTATATGGTTTGAAGGTTTTATTATTGAAGTTTTCTCGGAACATCTACAGAGAGCGCTTTCAACTTGTAATCATTTTATTAATTACTAGCTACTTTCGAGCTGTTTTAGTACTCGGTAGCTTGAAGTTTTATTATAGCATATAGCACTCAGGAACATTGTAGCTATCTATTAGTAAAAGAATTTTGGCACTGAGCAGCAGTTCCAAAGTAATAAACAGACAATCTCGTCCGGGAATCGCATCCTCTACAGGTTGCACGACAGTACCTAGTTGGCCATTGTGACTGTCCGTCAGGTACCCCTAAAAATATAAACACAAGTATCCCAATATTTTAAAGTATCGACTTTCCAATGAGACACATGTTAGGCCATTTATCTTATACTTTATGGGATCCACACTATGGATAATAACTGACAGGCAATCGAGTTGCAAATTGTTTTAAGGATCTTAAGAATAAGTGGCACCGTTGGGCGCCCAATACAATACGAAACGTCACATCTGGTTGTAATAATACTGACCCGTGAAAGGTCCAGAGAAACAATTAAGACATTGCACAAAAAATGTCATAAAATCCCAAATGCAAGGGCCTGGGAAAAGGGCTCTGGCGAGATGATGTTAGAAATGTGATGAAGGCGATAGATTACTCACTCTTGAACTGCGGAGACGATAGGTGGTCTTAGATAAGCTAGAGCTGATTCTTAGAATTCAGTATTACAAAGTAAAGTTAGTGTGAAGTGTGGAAGGAGAGCAGTGTGAGTGCAGCGAACGGGTATGTGAATGTAGTCTTAATTGTAGGTTAGGGTCTAATCCCATCCTATTTGCATCCCGGAACAGTGCTTTGCACTGTACTTGTTGTACGCGCATCTCCAGGGAGCGGGGGTAGGCTTCACCAAGTATCTCGGAGGCTCTCCATACATTTGATAGCTCTGTTCGAAAGGAACACTAGATTCAAAACACATGTGTGTCTCGTCAAATCCAAACAAAGCTGTGGTGGCAATCTCTAATCTAAAAAAAATATATTTGGCGAAACATGCACTGTCGAAACGGGGTTCGATTAAGGAGGTGTAATGATGTGTAGATCTGAATGGCCACTTCGGCGTACACAAGTGCATCTGTAAAGTAATCTTCCATGTAGTATACACCCTTACCCTTTGTTGCCCTCTTATTCTATTAATAAATGTAGAATCATTATAATAAGACATCCTTTCCCTACTGAATTCTCAAATCCCCTTTGTACGTGCTTTGGAAATATTATAATTATAAAGTATAAATAACATAATTAAACATATAAAATAAATTATGTTATTTATTGAGAATTCATAATCCTGTAAACGGTGGGAGAGTGACCAGCAACAGGACGAGCTCTACAGGACTGGGCGGATGGCGGAGCTCAGTCCCTTGCCCATTTCCCTAGAAAGGGTAAGCCGTATACCATCCCTTCCTTGATTTAGGAAAAACGAAAATTTTATGTAGCCTAGGGTCGGCTAGAAACAGTCACACCATCCACTGCAAAATGTATCCTTCTGTTCCGGGAGAAAATTAAAATACTTTTCCTAGGGTTTAATGCAATGAAATTTGTAAGTATTTTTATCATATAGGTCAGCAAACCGTGGCGGCGGAAATAAAGAAGATAAGGACTGTCCTGGTCCGAAATTAAGCACATAGCCCAAGATAGGTCCCAATGAAAAATACTGTGGAAGCCCTCTGCCGCACCTAGGGGACATAGGAACTTAAGTCAAGGAAGTCAAGTCAGCAACCCAACTCGCGGATTACCAGATGGTAAGCAATCGCTACTACCTATAGGCACCTGTGTAACACCAGAGGAGTTACGAGTGCGTTGCCGTTTTTGGGGATTACGATTTCGGAGATTTAGGGAATGGGAAGGTATGATGGGAGGGGTAGGATTGGGCCTACGGTAACCTAATACAATGCTGCGGTTGTTTAACGAGGCCGTGGTATCAGTCCGGTCGAGTCGACCCATTCGTGGCGAAGCATGGCCCTCCCACACTTAAAATGATTACAACTATAAACGCTGTTCTCTAGTATAGTGAGCCATGCAAGGGCGCAAAGAACTAAATCTAATGGTACATTATATATTTTCTTCGTGATATGGAACAGAGTAATAAAATACCTAGATGTTTTGTAATATTTTAACATCTCTGTCATAATAAACCACCTGAGCAAATGACCGGCATGTGGTTCAGGAGAAATGTGCTCGATGGTATACGTAACGCGGTCATTAGTTTCTTTTATGTGTTCGTTACGTCACCTCATGATGAAAGACTCTCAGCTCTGCTGCAGCCCATTTAGGGGAGAGCTATTGCAGACGGTGGAATTAGATTCTTGCCATCAGTTGAACTTTGATGACTTCAGAGAATTTTAAATTGTATTTTTTAATTTGTAAACTAACTGTTACAGTCTAATAACATATAAAGGCGTAAGTTAGGTACATTTAAAACATGGACCTATTATTTGATCAACTACTTACAAACTCAGTTTTCTATCTGATTGAATTATTTTCGGAATAATAGCCGTATGTCAGATATTGAATGACCACAAATTGGAAATAAAAAATTCATAAAACCTCCTTCATTTTTTGTTGCCCATGATAATACTGTGACGCGTTAATAGGTACCTTGTATCATAGCTCCTGTCGTTGTTATCTGAGCATCACTCAAGAGAGCAGAACTAAACGTTTCTTTACAGGCGCTTAACTAATAGTAAATACCTAGTTGATTGTAAACATAGCTGAGTTGTATGCTACTTACATATATTAAAGTATCTATGGTTCAGCTAACAAAGCTTTAAAATAATTAATGATATTCCGTATCAAATATAACTAAATGACTTGTTTGCTATTTAATTATTTGAAATAAAGATTTAACTTAACGGGTTTTGTAATTACTCATGTACTTAGACATTTAATATTAGTTGTGCATCTCTTCCTTATTTAGATAGCAACAGTTAATATGCTTAACACATTGCTAATGTTACATTAGGAATTTTATTTGCAAGCAAATAAACTTACGGCAAATTGTTGAGGAAATCTCAAGGCACTGGGAAATATAGGGGGTAATACTTACCATGTCTATTATTAGGTATGTTGATCACGTATTTTTGTATTCTAATCGTACTAGTGATTCAGAATGTCTGTTTTGTTTAGAGGCAAGTGAATGGCGCTGACACCATGGCGGTGGTGGGATACCGTTAAGATGGGCTTACCGATGGCCTTTCCAATAAGCACAACACTTCGCGGTGCGCGCTCGTGCTTACATCACTATAATACCAAACAACTTTTATTATCTTGCTCAAACGAATCGCGAACTTAGAAGCGAACGCTACGCTTACAAAGTACGTGTGTTTTCTTAATGTCCGAGGTTACTTACTAACAATTTTGTGATATCTAATTATTTTAATCTCTCGCGCGTATAAACTGTGTCGGCTGACTGACAGCATTCTGCACGTATTTTAAGTTGAACGTGGGTTTGCAGCGGGCAAAAGATTAAAGGTGCAGTCAGCGAATTTTTAAGAGGACCTCTTTTGTTGTAAATAAGTGTTAAAAATGGAAGTAGAATATGGTTCTGATGGATCGCCATTTGTGACATGGGGTGGTAACAAGATAATGCTGGAACTCGATCCGGCTGTTGACGAATCTACTAGGGAAGTAGCGAGGAAGGAATTGAGAGAAACTCCGGAAGTGGTCGAGCAAGCTTTGGTGGAGTTACGACAGCTTTTAAGAAGTGAGTATTATTTAAATAAAACTGGTTCATAGCTGCAAGCGCAGATTATTTTAAACAAAACACTTGTTGTGTTGTTTATTTTGTTTTTAGATTTACTGTATAGGTAGTAATTTATTTTAGGAAATTATACAGTAGGTAATTTACCTACGGTACGTGTATCGGAAGATATGATTAAAATAGCATTGATAAGAAATTATCAATATTAGATTTGTGTATCCGTGGACTTCGTAATTAATGAATATGATTTGGTTACCATTACGAATTGTCCTTATGTTAAAACTGACATCTATCTAGTTATATCTATCGTGCGCAGATTCCATATGAACGAAATTCTCCGTATTTAGGTGCTAGTAGCGCAGTGTTTTGGCGATATTTTCTTTATAGACGATCAATCTAAGATACAAAAGGATTCATACTATAAGCAGTGATAAACGGCTATAATGTTAGGCAAAACACTGCATCCCTGAGTATATGAGTCACTCTGAGTGAAACGAGAATCGTAATAACATAAAAGTGCACGCTATATGCGTAAAATGAAAGTTAGCTAAATGAGGTTTTAATGTTTTCCCTTTCACATCTTGCAGAATACATCCATTCTTAACTGGCTTTATATAAAATAAAAACAGAATGAGAGTAAAACCTTTGTGTATCTTCTATAGTTTATCTATAAAAATATAGATATATCTATAGATATTTGTTATATTATTAGGCAGGTATTTTAGACGTTATATAGATATTATATTAGACGTTTCTAAACGAAATTTTACGTTACGTACTAAATTATATACAAATTTTTACTTAGGCATAGGTACCATAACAAAGGTTTTTTTTAAAAAAAATTGAAGTTAAAATTTTTTGGTATCATTTTTCATTTATCTTTTTGGATTACTATAAAAATCATCATAATTCTGCGTAAGTACCTAAAGTAGAAAAAAATATGCAAGAATGAAAAAAAAGTAAAATTAATTTATATAGTTTTGAAGAAGTCATATCTTTTGTGACCATCATCTGGCTAATTAATCAAACAATAGTTACTGAGTTTGCACTGAACCAATCTTTATTTTCGTACTTGAAGTGCATACAAAATTGCTATGTAGACTGTCCATTTAAGTAGGTACCTATTTACCTTTGTATTTTTCACACCAAGTTTGTTATTTGAATTTGCATGCCTGTTTTTGCCAATACGGAGGGAGTAAATGTCGAAAAAATACTTATTAAAATGAAAGTTTTAAAAAGTAGTACCTATATTTTTAGCTCTAACAGGAAATTGTATGACAAAATGTAATTTCCACGTTGCAAGTCTCGCCAGTTAGATACAATGTTATATTTAGCACCCGATTGTTAATTTACAAAATTTATAAATCAAACAAGGAAACAGGATTCTTATAGAAACAGCCGGACGTGGATAAAATTAATTTGTAAAATAAACAATACTTCACGGTGTCAAGGTACCGACATTTTAAAGGTTTACCTAAAAATTGTTTGATCAAGTTTTTTAGACTGATCAAAACAATAAGAAAATGTTGTCGATTATACGATAATTGGCGTAATTGGAAGGAGTAGGTAAAAAACATTATATTATTCTTTTGTATGGGCCCCATTGCCTTTAACTTTACAAGGACGTGTGTACATCATTCCGTCATATAAGTCAAATGTCCATCTTAATTATCAATAATATCTATAAATCAAAATTAAGATAAAACCAAAGAGGTTTGTATCTTTATTAAATATCGAAATACCGAACTTTTTTTCCGTGAAACTAAGTTTTACGTTATTTTTTGTGGTATTCAATAGAATCGATACAATATTGCAGTTTCTATTCATTACTGCATCCTTAAAATATTGATTGGTGATTAAATTTTGCTCAATTTGATGGACAAGTTTCGACATTTTAATCACCGGACCTGTTTTATTTTACTAGATTAAGCAGTTACATAAATGTCAGGCCATGCTTACCTATATCATAAGTTTGTGTTTTTATAAACCTATCTAATAATAAAATATAATATTTAAAGCTCATTTCTCAAACATTTCTTTTATATTCTATTTTCTCTCAAGGATTTCCCATTTTTGTCAATGAAATAGGTACCTAATATTTTCTTTGTACATAACAAGGTGGTGTTATTTGTTGTTTCTCTTGCTTTCATGTATACCTCTTCGGTTTAATTTCGTAAAGTAGAGTAGTGTGATGAGATATTTTATCTACCTACACAATTATTTATTTATATAAATTCCGATATATTACCAAATAAATTTTCCACTGTTATTGTTCTGTATGTGTAGCTATGTACACAATCTAATCTATAGGTACAAAGGTATTCTTATTTATTCGTAAATCGAAAAAAAAATTCGGCGTTCTGCGACCACTTGTTTTGTTTTTGTTCATCATGGCCATCATTGGTAGAGTGGGTCGTGTATTTACAATTTTTAAATTTAGAAGGCAAAAAATATTAAATGTCTATTATTTCTTAGCTTTATGGAATTTCCGTGGGTATAGAACTTTATCGTCCGTTTTTATTAGAAAAGTTAAATCATTTCAATGTAATGCCCTTAAACAAGACACCAAGAAAGAAGCATTGCTTCAAAGCGATACGAGCTCTTTGGATGCATTGGTAGGCTTTGAAATAAGGTAGCAATACAGAAAACGGTAATATTTTAACCAGTTTAGTTAATTTAATTTGATATTGAGTGATAATTGGCTTAATTGGTATTTTTTTGTCAATTGCTACTTGCAAGTCATCTCACGTACAATAGTAGATTACAAATACTAACGTCAATTCTTTTTTGATTGTCCGAAATGTACTTTATAAATTGACTAAATGACTGAGGTTTTTAGAACACAGGTTTATTTTATATAAATATTTTAATAATAAATATAATGTTGTCGATATACAGTTCGTTTCTTGTATTCCTGGAAGCTAATTACATTCGATCTAATTACATGTCATTATCTTAATGGTTTGTCAATATGACTATGTGTACAGTACACGAATAAATGAGTAATGATTAATTGCAGTAAAATTAAATGGATAACATTCATGTCGTAACCTTATTAAGTTATCTATTTCTGGTCTGCATTTATACATTATAATACATAAAATGTACAATACAATACAACATTTGGAAGAAGAAAGAAAGTGGCATTCAAACCAAGATCAGGTTGATACGAGCCTTGGTATTCCCTATATTTCTTTATGGAGTGGAAACGTGGACGATCTTAGCCCGAGAACGACAAAGGATATATGCGTTCGAGCTGTGGTGTTGGAGGCGATTACTCCGAATACTTTGGACTGCTAAACGCACCAATGTGTCTATCTTGAATCAACTGAAAATAAAACCTGCTTGTCAACCATAAGCCAACAATGCATTCTATCCTATTCCGGCCACACAGTGCGCAGTGGGAACACCGAAGGCAAACGATCGCGTGGTCGTTCACCAACCAGATGAACCCATCAAGTGAAAGATTCATCGTCCTCCGAATTTTTCGCGGTAGTGAGAGATGCGCTGGATCGAAACCGATGGAGGCGGATCATCCGCTCCAGATGTTACCTCGATGCTGACCACGATCCTCAGACATGAGGGACCGACTATAAGAAGAGGACAATACAATAGGTACCTATATACATACTCTGAATTGAGGAGTTAGGTGTCTTCTTTTGAATGGACACATCATAAAATGGCTTTTCTCCTCCTGGGTGAGGTGAAAGGGCGTTCCTTCACGTGCTCAATAACGAGTCTGTGGTAACATGTTGACGCTTGACCCGCAATCCCAGTTGATGCTTTTTAGTAGTCCGAAGTTCTTTTTGTTCTCCTAGTTAACATCCCGGAACGATGTTTAGCCAAACAAGTTTTATGTGTGGGAGAGCCATGCTTCGGCACGAATGGGTCGGATCGACCGGAGTGATACCTCGGCCTCACAGAAAACCGGCGTGAAACAACCACAGCGTTGTGTTTCGCCGTGTGAGTGAGGTTACTGGAGGCCCAATCCTTTCCCTCCCCCAATCCCTCCTCAATCTCTAAATCTCCAAATCCCTAATCCCTAAAAGGTCAGGAACGCACTCGTAACCGTTACGGGTGTCCATGGGCGGCGCTGATTGCTTACCATCAGGTAATGCGTCTGCTCGTATGCAAGAAGTCGACCTATTACTTACATAAAAAAACAATATAAGAGTAAAATCACATGTAACTGGTACCTACAAAGGATGGCATTGTTAACACACGCGTATTGTTAACATATATTACGACGACTTGTTCAATGTTCATAGTACCAGCAGATACAACATGTTATACAACCATTGTTTTCTTTGTACTTCTCTAATTACTTAACGCTGCGTTTGCGCAATATGTGTATTTAATTTCGAATTTGTTTGACATCTTTTGTTGTCGTTGTAGGTACCTAGGTATTTACGCTAGATAGGTACTACTATTACTCAATTAATTTTTACAAGTAAAAGTTTTACGAAGGGATTGGCGTAAGATATAGTACATATTATTCCAAGTTCTTAGTATCTACATCAGAATTTTATGCTTTAGTTACTCATATTGTTATCTAACGTCAAAAAAATAGAACCTCCTCGTTTTACTTTTTACCATCATCTGGCCGACGGAGAATCACACATTTGTTTTAGTTAACCATTTTTTATTGTGTAGCTTCTCTAACATATTCTTCATTTGCGTAAAGCTTAGATTTGACTTTAAATATGATTTTGTAACTGTAATTTGTCTTTTCAGAGGAACCATCGTTATACGTGCCCATAGACAGAGACGACTATCTCCTGAAATTCCTCCGACCATGCAAATTCTATCCTGAAAGTGCATTCAAAAAGGTATGGTTAATTATAAGTACTACTCGTTCTTTATACTTTTCGTCCTTGTTCTAAAACGGACAGAAACGAGTTTTTTGAAAAAAGAAGCATACAATATTGGAATATTTTTTTTTCCACATCACGTACACTTGTAGTTGTTATAAGTTATAATAAATATACATATTTGACCATATCACGTTGTCGTGATCACTGTGATCGGCCTATCATTACTGACATTTACTGACAGGACTATTGGAGCCAATAAGCCTGATCTAGGTGGTGGACTTGGCTTACGATGTTGTCGACATATAAAGTGACTCGACCACTATTGTGCAGATAGTTGTGTCAGTAAATGGCACAAAAAGCCTCGACCACCTTCTAAGGAGGCTGGCGTTAAATCGAAAGATCAACAGCCTGAGACAGAAGGCAGAGGGCCTATCATGACGTGTTAACGCGTGAATCTTTCGGGCGAAAAAGAGGGATGGAGCTATATGTATAGCTCTAGCATATAGTTCTCTTTGCAACGGCATTCTCCCGATGCCGGTCGATCTCCATTTTTATTTTGAAGTAGTTTTAAATAAATGAAATATTGTATTGTCAGGTTTTGTAAAAAATCCGCAATGATGTTATATTGATGTGCTAATTTATTACAAGGTTTTTGTTTAAAATATCTTGTAATTATCTTCGAGTATATTAGGTGTAATTTCCACAACCAGTTAATATGAAACACTTAACACTGAATTGCGAAATGATGGTCATGTTTAACTGTGAGCTAATGGACATCAGGCTGATAATTATATTGAAAAGGTCATAGTTTGCCTGGAGTTGCATGCAATTAGCTTATAACTATTACATGCCTTTATGAATAAGGAATTTAAAAAAAGATCACACGTAACACGTTTTTAAATCTATGTGTCTATATATAATGTAAATTTGCTGTGAGAATTGCATGGTAAAAAAAAACAATTTCAAACATCTATGAAATTTTGTTGTGTTTCTTTTTATTTCCAGTGCTCTATTCCTTAAGTGTCTCAAAAAGAGCACAGAGTCTTAAAACAAAAACACAACAGTCTTATACTAGATATCATCGAGAATCGTGTTGTCTATAAACAAATCTATTGTTCTAGATACAAGCATATTACAAGTTCCGGATAGCTCATGCTGATTACTGCCACGACTTATTACCATCGGCCATTCGCTCGCCATTTGAACATTCAATTGTGTCAATTTTGGCGCCACGGGACCAACATGGACGTCGCATCGTACTGGTCGAATGTGGAGGTCAGTAACCTAGGCTACAATTTAACTATCATGTTAGTGCAGCGTTAAATTGGTTTATACAATACACCTACTTATGTATTTATAATCTATGTTAAAATACCTTTTGGTAATTATAATAAGAGTTCCAAGTTTATCACAACTGGATTGTTTCGATTTGCAGACGTAAGTATATTGCCTACATTGCGGTCGAAATCACAAAATATCAATGACACAATGATTTTTGAGATGAAATTCAAATTGTTGAACTCTTTTTACGTTTCAAGGAATCAAAGGTATTATTTGAGTTCCCGTAGTACCTAACAGTACTTAGGCATAGTCAGCGAGACCTATGTAGGTCAGAGAACGGCCTATGCGCACGAAATTAATACTATTGGTGAAATAGTGCGTGAAGCTCGATCGAAAATATTTACTTCGGGTATATGTATAAAAGATACCTATTAGGATTTGATTGCCTATATTAAAGAAGCTTTATCTTGAGGTAGCTAGCATATGGTCTTTATAATATGGAATCCTACCAAACTTGTTTTGAATTTGTTTTGTTAATGCCATTAGGATTAAAAATACCTGTAGGAAAACACCAAAATAATTTAATATTGTACACATATCTTTCATTTTTTATATCACCTTATGTATGGCACAAATAAAATTGATCATATGGTCGGTCATATTAAGATAACCAGTAATACAGACAGACATCACAGACTCAAATGCAAATAAAAAGTGACCTTTGAATTGGCATGTACCAAACATGTCCAAAAAAGTTTAGGCGTAAATGTACAAGAAATTGTTTTAAAGTATTTTTTTTTTCAAACTCAATTTATTTATTGCAAACATAGGTAATAAGTACATAAGACATGATGAAGCATACATAATATAAGTCCGCTATGTTTCGCCTGTCGGCATGCAATTTAGAAATTATTTAATTATTATAAATTAATGTCAAACATTATACTTGTCCAGTTCATAGTCATTTTACATTTATGTTAACATTTTCTTTTGTCCATAATAGTACCATAGTATTTTGAATAATATATAATTTTATAACAAAAACAAAGTATGAGCCGTTGCCTCATTGTTTAGTTCAAAATCTATGACAGCATCAGCCTTTGGAAAATTTGCAACATTCAACATAGCCAAACATATATTTAAAATATGTTTTATACTACCTTCAGCAGCTTCTGAGAGCCTAGTACATCGGCTACACCAAGGGCATCGCAATTGCATTGTCTCATTATCGTACTTTTTTGAAGAACCCTGATTCTTTATCCCATCATCATATCAGCGGCTTGAGTAGCAAACGGGTCGGAAAAAGTATAACTCAAAAAGAAAACGGAGATGCCGTCTCTGAGCATCATAGAGGAAAAAGCCCTCTTTAATTTTTCTATGCTGAGCATACACTTGATCAAAGGGTCTCCTCAAGAACCTCATATTCAACTTGCAACTAATATTTTTAAACTTTTATTAAATTAGCTTCCGCCCGCGGTTTCGCTCGTGCGGTTTGTTGATAAAAAGCCTATGTGTTCTACATACCACACCAAATTTCAATCAAATCAGTCCAGGTGTTTTTGCGAGAAAGAGAAACAAAATACCTATTAGTAGCATATAGGTAAGTGGAGTGTAACTTATTTGCTTCGTAATATTTCAGAGAGATGGAACCCACAAGAAGTATCCCTCAAAGAAGTTTTCCGAGGCATTCAAGTGGGGCTTGAGGGAGCGATGGCAGAGCCAAAGACTCAAATCTGTGGAGTCATCAGCGTGTTCGACATGAAGGGCCTGGCATTCAAACACATCATGCAGTTCACGCCGTCATACGCCAAGATGGTCTTAGACTGGATTCAGGTATAGTATCAAAGCTAACACGAATATGATAGAAGCTAAAGAATTACCAATTACGACCAAACCGTGCTGCTTTCGTTTTTTTTCTTCTCTACAAACAATATAATTTCAATCAATATCAAATCGATTTCGTTTCTGCATCCAAGATTCTTTTGGGACGCGCTCGACCTTATTGTTACGTTTTTTTCATGGATGTATATATTGTGGATCCTGGCTTACATAAGTAATGAGCTTGTCAAATAAAAAAGATGGTGGTAAACAGTTTTAGCCTACGTCTAGAACCAAAAACGTGAGCTTCTGTATCTATATATTTAAGTATAGAACGGAGCGGCCATTACATCCAAATTTCAAAACCGCAGGTTGCCAAACGCAGTATGATGGGTAGCTGCTGTAGATACATTATTATACAACATTATTTACATGTTTTTCTGTTGAAATATAGCATATCGTAATCTTTGCGTTGTATTTATTTGGAACTAGCAATTGCCCGCGACTCCGTTCGCGTGGAATAGTGACTTCCTGCATATTTTTGGTATAATTTTTTTTACCAAATATCTCAGAAATCAGTTCTGTAGTTTAGGCGTGAAGAAAAGACAGACAGACAGAGTTACTTTCGCATTTATAATATTAGTATAGATTTCGTAAGGCCTTCAACGTATTATATAAATCTTCTTGAAATGCAATACTTCAGTAATCTATAATTAGCAGATTTTTAATTATTTTGGTCTTCAAACTTTTATTCGGAACAAGGTCTGAATTATCAGGAACTTCCACAATCAGCACCTGCGAATTTATCGGTAGTTTATCTGGTTTTTTGCAATTATAATAATCCTCTTTGTTTTGAAGTAATGATAAAGTATTGCTATGATCTGCATGCTGAGTTACAATTAGTGGGACAATTGCAAGCAGTTGTTAGGGTCAATTATTTCAAGCATCATATGAACATTAATTAAGCGATGCGATGACTTGTAAAGTGAAACTTTTAGCTAATCAAACAATTTTATGGCATTCGTAATTGTTCAGGCTCGGAACTCCTAGATTCGGTGCTGATTGAGCGCATTCATTATACAGCCTTGAAATATTTTAATGGAACTGTGTCATGAATTATCTAGAATAATATTCTTTGTTCGTTTTTTTTAAACACGTAAATAATAATAGGAATAGCCTCGCTCGCTTCTCGTTTGGCATTCTGAAACGCAGTAACGTGTTCAATTAAATTCTCGCAAGCTATTTCGATGTTGGTCAAAAGTTTATTAGGTATAATATTGGTACATTAGTGATCGAACAGAGGTCGTTGACCGTGGTTATGTTGCGCAACGAAGCAGACACTTGAAGTCGGCTAGCAGACTACCTGTTTGACCAGTAAACTGTTTTTCTAGGTCATGTTTCTATAGATTATTTAAGAGATTGAAGAAAGTAGTTCTGTGGGACATGCGATTTAGTTTCCTTTTTATGTAAGAATGTCAGAATCCTTTTAGTGATTTGTGGTAATAGGTTAGCATCGTGTAATGTATTGGCAGATGTTATTTAATCATGTGACAACATAGGAAATAATCCGTTCTACTTCACCCCAAACTAAATATTACTTACCACCGAAAATAGAAATTGAATTCAATATCTTATAAACTTTGCCTGACGACTTTAGGCTATTATTCTAGATAATGTTTAGACCTACGTTCCTTCAAACGATAATGCATTCGATGCCTGTTTAACAATTCTTATATGACATTCTTTTTCTACTCTATTTCTTTTTCAAAAAACTTTGCCCCGGTCTAGGATTTTTCCTGTGTCGCGACATGTCGTGAGAACGGTTAAAAACTTACACATCACACCCACACCCGGATCAACAATTTGTGGATCACACAAAGAGTTGTTCCGCGCGAGAATCGAAATCGCGACACGTTGCGCGGCAGCCAGTTTCCCAGACACCACGCCAACCGTGCGATCTTATATACATTATTAACACAATTAAAATCCATTTCTCTTAATTACAGGAATCAGTACCAATCCGCGTAAAGGCAGTCCACATAATCAACCAGCCGTACATTTTCAATATGCTGTTCGCAATTTTCAAGCCCTTCATGAGAGAGAAACTTCGCTCCCGTATACATTTCCATGGAAACAATATGAACTCCTTGATGGAACATGTAGATCCTAAGGCCCTGAGGAAAAGGCACGGTGGTCTTCTACCTGATCCTGAGATCACCGGTGATGTGTTATGGAAGATGCTACGACACTATGAAGAGGAATACAAATGTGAGTATTTTATCTCGGTGGATGCGGGACCATAATAATGTGGCCAAGTCGTAGGGCCAAGTGAACGGTTTTTATCTGCAAGATACCAATTTATTTAAGAACTAGTTTTTTTTTGCATGTAACTGCAGATTTTTGAAAGTTATGTAATGTTTTGACTAGTTTTTAGAATGGAAGGGTAACACAATGAATTACTGACTAGATTTGGTTGGAAATTGGCAAAGAGATAGATTAAAGTCTGGAATAACACGTAGGCGTTATAACCTGGTAAAGCCTCCCTCTTTTTTAAAGGTTAGGATATTTAATATGAGTGATCATACTAGTCAAACCAGCCTTCGGAAAAGGTTACCCCTGATATTATAGGTATTGTATGAAAACATCACATTGACATCACATCATCACCCTATAAGCGTCCACTGCTGAGCAAAGGCCTCTGCGCTTGCTCAAGGTGGATTGGTGATTTCAAACTTATAACACTATAAGTCTAGATTTCCTGACGATGTTTACTTTCACCGTGAGTTATTGGTGTCTTAATACAGTGACATTATGTGTAGTCTCTTGAAAAAGTCACATTTTTACTTGACAAGTCTCGAACCTGCCCTAGGTTCGAGACGTGTCAAGTAACAATGCAAGTAATCATGCACGCACGAGAAGTGGCAGCCGTAACCTCTGGGCCACGGAGATGTTTCCCCACATCGTTGCATTAAAATGATATAAAATAATGTTTAATTTTCTTTTACAGTGGCAAATTCATACGGCTACGTGCAGAACGTGAACAACAATAAAACGTAAATCTAGGTACGTCGATGCAGTCATGCAGTACAAAACACAACTCAATCGCTCAAATATTTAAGTACTCGCGTTACGTGTATAAGAAAATGTATTTTTTTGCATTTTAGACCTTAAGGCATACTTAGTAAGGTAATTATTTGATAAACATACGGATCTAAATAAAATAAGCCAAGTTGAATAGGAAATTTTTTATTCTAATAATTATTATTGACAATAAAAGTACAATATGGTTGGTGTTATTAAATAAGGAACCACTTTTTAAATACAAAAAATATCGTTTTATTTTTACACTATTATCAATAGTATTCATATAAAATATATACATATATCTCGATATTATTAAATTGATTAGAATTGGTCATAAATCATAACATACGTTATAACAAATAAAAAAATATATTTCATAAAAAATATAATAAAGGTTTATAAGTACAGGTATATTTAACAATTATTGAATAGCCGTAAAAACATGTTTGGACCTACATCTTGGATAATTATTTATACTTTATAGCATTAAAATATAATTACATATAATACATTAAAAATAGCCCTTTCATTATATTAAATATATACAAAAACAATAACGTTATATTTATCTACTTATGTACTAATTATCTTTTTGATATGGTATATGTCATGGATTGTTCCTGCTATATGGCAATACATTGGTTTAAAAGATTTTCAATTAATAATGAGATTCTTTTTTTTATTTAAATTTTTATTCAATTTTATTATGTCCTTTATTCAAGCCAACATTTTTTCACAGCCGAAATAGTTTTCTTTAGCTTTGCAATATATTTATTTATAATGTTGTATGATTAGTACAACAATAGGCCTGTACAACGTGTGGACAGGATATCCACAAAAATCCATTCACCATCAATCATTATAGGCAGAATTCAATTCAATTAAATACACAAATACAAATATTATCATTACTCTTAAATACGTAAGTAATTATTTAAAATCAATTGAGATTGGTCCAAATACCCAACTATACGATATTCTACCTTATATGCAAAATGCACAAGCATAATTAAGTTTTATAACATTAAAATTTATAATTTCAGCCAAAAATATTAATTTTACAATATAAAATTTAATTTACACATCCCTACTTTATTTCTACACCTTATAAATATACAAAAATGCTGGCTGAAGCCTTAAACTATGGTTTGTACATTAATCCTAAGTGTAAGTATCATTATCACGATATGCGTATTCATTATATCACATTGAATTTATTTGCATAAAATCATCCACTTTACACTCGACCTGCGACTCATTTCTTCTTGTATCCATATGAGTTGATCGCTAGAAATAAATTAATGAAATTTATTATTATTAAGAAATAAATAGTACTATAAAGAAAACTTACATTAAAATAAAACAGTCAGTTTAATTTCGAAGCTAAGAAATGTGTTATGATTTTCACATTCCTTAGCTCTTGCAATTTCATTTTTACAATATGGCGCCGGTAGGGTCTTTTTTATTGCTACAACCCCGCCACAATCTTCCAAAGCTGCTGCAACTCTTGTAAGCCAGGATCTTCAGTAGATACAACCATGAAAACACCGGAACACTGAAGTCCGGCGCGTCCTAGGGACAAGAATCTTGGATCCCGCAACGAAATAAACCAGAAGATATTATTTGAAGAAAAAACTAAATAGTCTCCACTTCACGTGACAACTGAACACGTGACCTTAAATACTGATCCGGTCTGTTTTTTATTAAAACTTTATTGTAGAAACCTTGGCTATATCTAGTCTAAACCAAGTCACGGGAAGATGTCTTAAATCAAAATGAACTTACCACTAAATTCTTTATCACACATGAGGAGTAGTTCCAGCCATTGTCCTCCAGTGACACTTGGAATGCTGAGGGTGCCGCCATACTTGTCGGGCAGGCACTTGGGGCTGATGTAATCATGTAACATCTTCCTGTCGCTGCCCATGAATACGATGCGTGAGCGAAGCTTCTCTTTCAGGAAAGGCTTGAAGAGTTTGAATACCATTTCGAAGATAAATGGTTGGTTTATGATGTACAGCCCTTTGATGCGGAGCGGGATAGCTTCCTGTAATAAGTTTGTATGTTTGAGATTGTATTTTCCTAACTTTTATCGTATCAGCTCAACTAGTTTTTTAGGATGTTTAGGTACAAATGTTTGGAGTAGCATAGTGTTCGATGATATTTTATAATTCTATTATAATTCTACTAACCTGCAGCCAGTCCACGATTCTGTTGGCAAAGCTAGGGGTGAACTGCAACACGTGCTGCATGGAGAGACCGTCCATGTCGAAGATGACGACAGCGCCACAGATCTGTGTCTCTGGCTCCAACATGGCGGCTTCCAGGAATAGCACGCATCCCTTGAACACCTCGTCCAGAGAACATTTGCTTGGTTTCCATTTTCCTGCAAAATATAAAACGAAAAGTTAACAATTTGTTTCAAATCCAAACTAATCGTAACCATTATTATAGCAACTCTGTCTCTCTGTCTCTTTCTGTCTTTTCTTCACACCTAAACTACTGAACCGATTTCTGTGAAATTTGGTACAGACATAGTTTAGAACTCGAGAAAGGACATAGGATTTTTATAAAAAAAACTCCAGGAAGTCACTATTCCACGCGGGCGAAGTCACGGGCAGAGGCTAGTAATATATAAAATCTTTTTCGGTTTCAGAGAAATTTAGATTCGTACCAAATTTGAGGATTCACTATAATAATACACAAGAGCGATTAAGTTACGATTTTAAATATGATCGTAGGTTATGGTTGTAGAAATTAGCCAAACCACTAATTAGTGGCGAATAAAAACGGTAAGTATTTTCATCTTCATCATTTTGAATGTCTATTATTGAATGTTCATTCTTCAACGGTCAATGTTGTTAAATAAATAATTTTTTGAACAAATATTGATTTATGAACAGGTCAGTCCGTCTCTTCGAGTAAATATTTAAAACTGAATATCACAAAGTCAATATATATTTTTATGCTGGAGCAGCAGCGAATATTATTTAGCAAGAAGAAGAGGCAAGCGATATAAGCATCTCTCTTACAAAATCAATTGAAATTAAATATGTGGTTGAACTTGGATAACTGAATGATGATTAAGAGTAGTTTTTTACTTTGTATTTTTTTACTTTTTGCCACAATGCTTAACGTCTGGATTTTATACTTTATAGACTTACATTCTCTGCAGCACCCTAAGATTGTTTGGTGAGAGTACCTATGACATTAAGTGTGCCTATGTAATTCTATGTTTTCAGTGTTGCTAGCCAAAGTAATGCAGGGTCAAGTAGAATAGTCGGTTCAACAAAGTAAAAGAAACAGAAGGAAACTTAAACTAAAATATTTTGGTTATAAAGCATAAATTATTAAAAGAAATTTCAGTACATAGACACTTTCTATAAAGATACGCAATTGCACGCATATGTGGTATCACTGGCACAGTAGTAGGTACATGAATGAACAAGTAAAATTAGAATCAATCTATTTTTATAATATCCTTTACTTGTTTTTCTTCAATACGGTAGTTTCCAACTAGTCAAATTCAATACTTTTATCCAAATGTCAAAAACTATACTTTTCTATGAAATTTGTATGAAAAACTGAGGTATGACGTCATAACAGTTTTGCGTCAAATAGCTTACTTATTTCTGAATAATGAGCTAAAAATATCTAAAACTTAGTGTATCGATCGATCGATGAATAAAAGTATAGTTATTTTTCAATATTTTATTGTATTAAAACGTCGAATTAATTTATTTTTGACCTAGGACACTACCCAATTGTTTACACGAAAAGTACGCAAATTGATGATTCGGACAATATTGTGTGACGTACGCACAAGAACATGTGATGATCAGAGATTTGTAATCATATTATGATGAATGTTTGTTTTGTAATTAAAGTACCTGGTTATTAGGTACTTGTCGATCATTATCTTGGGCAAGCCTGCGTGACTGACTCCCCAGATATTCTAATACGATTTATCTTATTATCTACACGTATGTACAAATATTAGATATTTATTGGGGAATTTAAACTTGTAATTGGGTATTTTAATTATGGTTACAGGTATCAATTACGTTGATTACCATGTCAATGTTAACTCTTGGAATAAATTCAACCACTTCATGTCTTCTTAGTGAATCCTTGCTCTCAGTAGAAACAATATTATTAAAGCGATGTATTCATAAATTTCCTTCTCAAAATATATATACATTCATAAACAGTAAGGTTTAATGCACTTTAAGATCAATGCTCGGATATTGGATTCGCATCACGGATGGGATCATTGGCGTGTGATAAACACGAGAACGACCTTTAAAACCTTCAAAATTAAAAGCCACTACTACGGATACTCACTTCCTAACTCGAGCACTAGAACTCGCCGGCCGTACTGGTCGCGTGTGGGGAGAACGGTGAGAACATTCTGGATAAAGACGTTGGTCTCCTTGCTGGGGATCAGGCCGTCGTAGTGCTTCGAGTGCTTCAGTTTGAAACCGTAGTAACGCTTGATCTGGAATAGATGGAGATGACACGTTAGATGGTTATGTATAAATCCTACACTTTCAAGACCAGCTGGTGTTGCTTACTGCCAAGCAACCGATTTTAAGTACCGCATCTATGGAGGTGCATCGAAATAAAATCGAAAACATTCGTACGGGCCTTTTTTCCTCTTGACTGATGGTCAAGAAAATTCCTACTTAATGTTTTTCAAGTAGCGGCAGTTTTTTTTATTGGGTTTTTAATTCGACAAACCCCTAGCGCACTGGTGCGTTTGCGCACCTACTTATTGTGTCACGAATTACCACGATTCAAAGGATATTTTCTTCCTTGATATGAATATACCTATCTAAGTGGGATTTGTTTTCTTTATATTATAACGATTAAATAATAAAAATAAACATACCAAGTCGTAGGCACTTTCAGGGTAGAACTTGCAGGGTCTCAGGAACCTGACGAGCCAGGCCTCACTATCCATCGGCACTGATAGATCTTTGTCCTCTGTAATAGAATAATACTAAAACGTTAATAAACAAGTTTTTTGAATAATAAATAGGTACACACATATGGTATGGACAGGTATGTACCTATTTATTATTGTGTGTAATGTGTGTATAGTTGGAAATTGAAATTTTAATCAGCCCTCCGGTGCTCGATTCAAAAATTCTAATTTCAAAAGTATTCAGTTGTAGACAGACACTAAGAAACTATTCGATTTAAACGAAGCGAATGAAGCGTCATGTAAAAAATAATTGG